GTACTACGTAACTGGAAACCCAATAGGACATGGAATTTTGTGAAGCAAAACTACGGAAGTGAGGCTGGCCAATGGCCATGCCATTATCTAGTGAGAGATGTCTAGCCTTTCTTCAGCCGCCAAGACTTCGACAGACTATCCCCGGGTTCGGTGTCTCTCGGAGCACGAAGATTCTACGTCGTCCGGCCAATCCCGTTTAAGGTCAGCGGGGGCTTGGCTGTGGTTATGGAACGGGACTGGCCGTCCGAGAGACTCCGAACCTGAGGTATGTTGCAGTACCCATAGGCGGCGGAACGGGGAGGGCACCGGGGCACCGTGCCCTCTTTGATTTTGGCATTTTAACATTAGCCCTATGGGCGTTGCATGGAAAGAATGGGACCAAAAGTCGGCGGTGCCCCCCCCCCCTTAACTGAAGGTGTTCCGCCGCTACTGAGCACAGCCATGTCGACCGGGTGTCGTCGCAAGCCGCCCCACTCGACGAGAACAAATTGAACCGTCCCGTCCTAGGCTGACTAGGCTTAGCTAGGTGGCAGCACAGTCGCGCCGGCAGGGGGCAGTGCCACAACCAGCCGACTGACATTTTCGTGTGACGTCAGAACCGGTGCCTCCCTGATTAGGCGCGATCCCCGGCTCCTGATGCTCCATTGAGTTATTGAAGCGGCGGCGAGTCCTGTGGATCCGCCTCTACTAAATCGGTGCAAATTTTAGAGGTGTTTATCGCCCGGCTGGCTCGAGTTGAACGTTGATGGCATAGCCCGAATCGCCTACCTGAATTAGGACTATGTCGTAGCCATTTATATCAGAAAAATATATAGACTCTGTTTTTTGCCTGTGAGTTTACGGTCACGGCCGCATTTACCATATATATAATGAAAATAAAACATTTCACTATCATTCCGAGTCGATTTAAGCATTTCCTAAAGCAAGTCATGAGATAACTTTCAAACCACCCAAATAGAAGGTTAAAACGTGTTCACACAGACAAGGTAACATAACAACTGCATGAACTGCTGGTTAGTCCCCCATTGTCCCACTCACACATCGTCCTTAGCGTACCCCGGTTATTCTCTCATAGCGTCCGTTCTACTGTACACACCTGTCATTAAAACGCCCCAGCCCAGCCTTCAAATATTTCACCATGTCCGGTAGCTGCCGCCCATGGTCGACATCACGAACCGATCCCCCCCCCCCCCCCCCCGGCGGCTGGTGGGAGGGGGAGAAAAGTACCGCACGTCACGCACCCTCCCCCGACCCGGGCTGGTTGGAGGGGTGATTCAGTGCGTCCCATCCGTGCCCATCTACCAGATTGATGACAGTGATAACTCGCCGGCCGAGAGCAAAGAGTTGTGGTGGTGGGACTGGGAGGAGCGGGATAGGACGGCGAGAGGACAGGCGGGAAGAGGCTGTGGATAATGAGTGACTGACAGCTTTTCGTGTCGTCGTGGTGATTTCAGAATAGAAAATGTGTGTATACTGGTAACACGTTATTCATTTATATGTAACATGCAAAAAATAAAAATAAAATAAAAGGTACCAGTCTTTCAAAAACCACCAACCTGAAAAATATGGTAATACAGCAGCAGCGTCTCAGATATAGTCGGTGCCTATATGCCAATAACCTTTCTCAAAGAGCCGCTAACGTTTCACTTACCAATCACAGCGCGCAAACGTGCTGACTCCAGGCGTGCCTCGTACCACCCTTGTGGCGCAGTTGGCAAGTGCGTTCACGTTTGGTGTGGGAGGTCCTTGGATCAAAGCTGACCTCTGGCAGCGTTTTCCTCGGCCGGCTCCTACCCAGGAGATGGCAGTAACTGGGGAGTGTTCGCTCGGTCGTGGGGATTACCGCTGTGCCAGCCAGCGCCCCCGGCCGCAGGTACACGGGCCTGATCCGCCTTTAAACAGATCCTTCGGTCCGGTGACATGTCCCGAGGGCACGGCCTCGCTTCATGTTCCGGAGCAGCCCTCTGACCTGCCGGGCCCGAGAAATCGGGATAGCCCCAGCGTGCGCACCAGTGCGGTGCCACCTGGGGTGCGTGACAGGAAGCGTGCGGTCAAGGCTGTCCCGCGTAGCGGGTGCCGAAAACGATTCGTACCACTGCCGTGTATATAGTGTACTAACCTAGTATGAATGTGTGCTACTAACGACAAAAGCCCGGGTCGGGCAACAAAAATATTTTATAAAAAAAGGCATGCCTCGTGGCACAGCAATGAAACTAGCAACCATACCAACTTGAACACAAACCCGAGACTTCAATAGCGTCCGTATACGACCGAAATAGCCATGCCACATGAACAGTACGTGCTTTGAAACAGTGTCTGGCGCGCGTCCAGACACAGGTGACGGGCAGAACGTGTCTGGGAGCCGGCGAGCCCCGGTGGGCGGTCACGTGACCGTCAGCTGGGGGTCCTCTGACTGGGGGTGTCACATGACAGACCTCCCAGAGAGTGGGTCGCAGTGTGTTCCGGGCCTAAAAGCACGAACTGTTTCTGCTCGGTTGCACTGAAAACGGCAGGAGGTCTAAAGCCAAAGTGTTGGCGAATTTGTCAATGTTGGCGGCAATCAGAATTGATATAGGAGGTCCCGGCGGAGAAACTGAGGCAAAAAGAGGCTCACCTTTGTGCGTGGAGGTGTCGTTCGACATAAATCGATGGCCTATATAAAGACCCACCACACATCCCATAAACTTTGTAAATCATCCACAAAATGCAGCGCGTTTGACTTTGTGATGCTAATGGGAGTAAATGACACCTCTCCATTCGCATCTGTTTTAAGCCCAGTCACGGAATGTTTGATTTTCACAATTTATTCCTCGTGATGCCTAACAATATTTGACGGACCGTCCAATTACACCTCTCTCTGCCCTTCTATCTCATTTCCCAATCTGGCGTAAACTACCCGACCCAGCCCACTATCATCGCGGCAGGCTGTTATTACTGGACCGATCCTCGCCCATATTTAGAGTCGAGATCAATGCTACAGTACAATTATGGATGCTGGTGCGCGAGCAAACGCCCATTAAGTCTGCGGGATAGCGTATTAGTTATTATGGATTCACAAAACTGAAGCAGTTACCATCCCACCTGCAGGTTTGAATTGTTCCTCGGTGGAAAATCCATGCATTTTGACTGATAATAACATATGTCTAGGCTAGCCATCAGCAGAACAAGAATGATTCCGGGCCATATTTGTAAATTGCAGCTCAAATGGCAAAATGAGTATGTAGGTTCTGAAATATTTGTCTGATGTTGTTAGGCACCCACTGGTTTGTTCGCAATGTATGATACCATAACTGTCACGTCCCTGTTTATATAGTTTATATCTGAGGTCTGCCTAACCGCCAATAGCCAGCTTCGCATAGCGCTATCTTGCATATGTCATTCATCAAACCATCGTTTATGACTGTGCGTAGATTTGTATATAACCGATTTATAGATTGCAGTGATCTGATTGTGCTTACAATTACCACAGTCGACTGTCAATATGAGTCTTACTCATCGTTCGTGCAATGTTTTCTTCTTTATGCAATGTCATAACATTGCACTACCTTAGTTACTTCTTTTCAAATGTATGTCTTTAATCCACTAACTGAATATCGTATCACCCTTGTCTCCAAACACACCTGCGAATATCTGTTCCCGGATAGCCCACTGCAGTCATCTCCTTCACGTTGATACCTTTCTATAGCCACCTGTGAACACCCCAGCTGGTCGACCGCGCCGAAGGACCCAGCATATTTGACTATGTAAATGCGCTGATTAGTATTTGAGATGCGTTCGCGGGGGGTGGGCGTAGTGTCTGAGTTTGGAGGATCAGACCTGATGGGCACTGCCGGCCACCGCTGGGCCCTGCTGGGCTCTGCTGGGTGCCTCTGGGTCTATCTGGGCCCCGCGGCCCCGGAGAATCCGTCCACTGGCCGGGATGGTCCCAGCGAGCCCGCGTTTGTCTGATGTATGTCACGAGCGGGCCTGAGTGCTACCTGGGATGTGCCCGGCTGGACGGACCGGCGTGTTACATGCACTGGAGCTGATGTATGTGCGCCGCCCACCGCACGTAATCGCCTGTTTGGAGCGGCACTGGCGGTATCTCAGAATGCCGCCGCAGACCCCACGGCGGCGAGCGCATTTGGTAGCCGGTGGCGGAACTGAACAGGCAGGTGGGATCAGGAGCACGTGGAGGCCAGAATTCAGCAGCATCGTTGTGTCGAAGGCTTTTCTATTTTTTGTGTGTGTATCAGCCATTGCAATTTAGCTCTAGTCAAAACTCAAAAGCTCTACCTGTTTTCTTCCTGACCTTTTAGGCGTTCACTTAGAAATCAAATAATGATGAGAACCGAACATCAAAAATGGTATATTCGTTTTAGTTGAAAATTTCCCTCTCTTTGCCCACGGATGAACATGATTTACCCAACGCTTGACATGTTTATCTTAATGAGTTGAATCACTCATTTGTATAATATATAACACCCTCATTAGAACCCAGAGATGTTTATTACTCTTCATTATGCAACATTCCGCATTACCGCAACAATGGGAAGAAATACTGCATGGGATTACCCGCGGTAGGAGCGCCTTGCATGCCAGTCAGTCGGCAGTCACACCTGAGACAGCCATTAGCCGCCCGTCCACTTATGTACAGTCGCCTCATCACGGACCGAGCCAAATCTGGGCGTGACCGGCGGCATGTCGGAGCTGAGGGGTCACGGAGGGCTGGGATGATGGCGTAACGTTCATCTGACGTGATATTGGTGGGATACCGGCTGGCCGTGATATAAATCGATCAAAGTCTATTGGTAGTTTTCTTTCTAACGTGCCAATGTATTCTACTTGTCTGCAATTACAATTTATCTTTGTATGATAGGTACTTTGATTTTGGATTTGCTCTGGTTGTGTCAAGATCGCGTGGGCCGTCATGTCACAAACAACAGCACATAACAGCAAAACCAGCAACCATATATAGCATCATACAGAGGCCGTTTCTGACCTCACCTGTTCCTTTCCAGGTCACCCAGAGTACCTGCTGGGCCTGATCGAGTCGCTGGGTATGGTGGCAGAGAGGGACACCGGACAGTGGATCGCCTCACAAGGAGGATGGGTGAGTGCTCCGGCGTATTTTTGGAATTTAGTGAGTTAGTGACGTGTATAATATATTCACGATTGATTTGTGTTGTACTGCACTGTTTTGAACGTATACGGCAATGCGTACATACCTACCATAATTAGGTAGCTACTTATCACAAGTCCGCCTCTGTCTGACAATGACATATCCATTGTCCAGTCCCCAACTGTCCACCCTGCTCTCCCCTCAGTGACTCACCCTCCTGTGCTACTCAGACAAACTGACCTGACCCGCTCTGTCACCTTAAGGCTCTCATTATATCAACCATCTCCTGTCTGACCCGTCACTTGTCTGTGTATGGCTCGGACAGGGTGTGTCAGATGTTTGTAACACGACTGAAACGTGTCCCCGCTGACACATCGAGATGCCATGCAGACAGACAGAGGCTCTAATACCGGTCAAGGTTTCAGTTAAGTGCATTCCATCACATAGGTATTTGTCACCTTTGGCATGGGCACAACTCAAAATAGAAGAGGTCATATCCAATGATGACTGAAATATGATGCTGAGTATTGAAAAGACAACCTAAAGTGCATCATCTTGTAACGCTTATCATTTCATACCCAGTGCACCCCCTCTCCCCCTCCTCTCTACCACCGTCACCATGTCACACCCCGCCCGCTGCCCCCGCCCCCCGCTGTGACCTGGGTTAACGGTGTGACCTGGGTACTCGAGGTCACGGCTCCGTCTGAGCGATCACCCGATCCGTCTTTTTCGGGCATTATCCAGGTGCGGGGTCTGATTAGCGCAGGACACGGTGTGCCACCAACCTGGGAGGCGTATAGGTTAGGTCGAGACAGGGGTCTGTTCGACTTTGAGAGTTCAGCTTTAAATAGGGAGGGAGCTACACTATATAAAATTTTCCTACAATCAGGTTAGTTCCTAAAGTCGAAGAAGTAATTAAACAGCGGGCGCTGAATATATTTGTACCTTTATTTACCGTGTCGGATCATTGATCGCTCACTCACCAGTCGCCTGATTTGAAACAATAAATATAACTTCACTTTAGCAAATTCATGCTGCTCTCAGGGCCTCGGAATGAGCTGCGATACCACACAATTTGATAAAATGAACAGTATTTTGAGGTGTGGGATCTCGGCAAGCCCGATGACTCCAACTCGAACCGAGATTTAAATAGAAATGAGTACCTCGTGATGAGCAGCACCGATTACCAGAGGGGCGTATACCATCTCCGCACCGAGACATGACGCGCTGCAAAGTGCAGCGTCACCGTCAGTCAATCACGCTCCTATATTTAGCTCACCGGGACCGCGTTATGAACCCGCCCCCACGGTGCAGACGTCACCGGCATCCGTCACCAGATCCGGCAGAGCACTGGACAAGGTGCGAGCGAGTATATAAACACTGTAATCGGGTGTATCAATGATTGAAAGGGGTTTCGCCGCTCTGACTCGCATAACGATATCATTATACCTGTCAGCCAGTAACATAGAGCAAGTGAGCACGCTACGATGCTAATAGCTTCCGAGTCATATTTCTCCTGTTCGTGTTGACCTCAACTTTTCGCCATGCATGCGTGCTAAACTGTGAACAGTTGTTTCTAATGTCAATCGTGTCAAGAAGTGATAGGTGGGCATAACTGGAGCCTCGTTTTCCAGAAGCAATTCGAAACTTCCCAAAAAAACTCCTTCATGAACCCCCACCCAACCAGTCAACCGTCACCCAGCAACCAGAGCAGCCATCATATCAGCAATGACTTTGTTCACATCGCGCGGCTGGAGTGACCAGCGCATAGAAATGGCCTCGTTCCCCGTCTAATGAAGCTGCAGGGTGCTCCGACTCACGCAGTGCAGTGGTGGGAATGCGACATGAATACTCACCGCCCTGCAATGCCGCACGGATGTAATGAGGTAGCCATTTGGTCCGCGCTTTAGGGCTTTGACAGGACTTGATTTAGTTTGATGAATGTCCCCGACACACGATAAGGCCGGAATGTTTTATTGCGGGTACTCTTTGTTGGACAAGTTTCAGAGTTCGGGAGCGTTATAAAGCCTCCATTTTGCGCAGTGTCGTTCTTTCTGTCAATCAAAGTCTGAAGCTTACTCCTATAGTTTCACGCCTCGCTACGAACAATCATGTCGTCACGCGTTATTTCCGATGGTCGCCCTGTCTCCGTGACTCGGTGTGTGACGCTGTGACGCTGTGACGCCCTCATGTGACGCGCTGTGACGTGTGACGTCGTGATGGGGTGGTTCGACGGCCCGTGGCAGACCACCGCTGTTGCACCCATTCTCTAATGGTTCGGGCGTGATCGGCTCAATTCTCCGGCCACCTCCGTACAATGGAGACCACACAGGGCTGCAGCGTGAACCTCCGAAACGGACCAGCTCATGCAGATTGAGAGGGAACTTGAATGTGCCATGGGATGTGGAGACTTAAAAGACAGGTCGCTCCCTTTGGTTGCGAAATCCCATAGTTGTTTGAATGAAATGCAGATTTAAGATCATTCATAAAACAAAGCTAGATTAAAAAGTTATTCGGTTAATCTTACGTCACTGAAGTAGTCCGTTTAGCTAAAAAGATTTGTTACGCTCTGTGGCGTAAAATTACAAGTCCTGTAGCACGATACACGTCCCGTTCATGACCGCTAAGATGGTGCGCGTATGTTTTTTTATGACACAGGCCAGCGCGCACCCTGGCACCTTTCTCGGTAAAGGGCGTATGCAGGTAACTCGCCGTAACCACGCTGATTTCAATAACAGTATATTATGCTCGGACCGAAATCACCGCTATTAAAAACGGATAGGTCACGTTGATGGGCTATAGATAGGCAATTACGGATGTTTTCAGGTGCTATATTATTCGCATGCATTCACCAGGGACAAGTTTTGGGAGAATGAAACATGATCAATGACCAATATTTGTCTCATAAATAGCTTGGTAATAGACACCCATCGTTAAATCTGCTATAGGTGCGACTGGCACAAGGTGTGAGCTGTTGCAATGGAGACACTGATTACTGGCAGTAAGACAAAGATGATGTCAGACTTTAAAAACGATTGGAAACAATTGTGGAGTGTGCCATCTTTTGAGTTGATGTCGCACTGTAAACGTTTTCGAATCCATCGCTTTTATTAATGCTTAGGTAGTAGGTACGCTGCAATTTAAATATAGGATACTGCGCCAACAGGCACCGGTATGAGACAGTGGCCAATGGCCATGACACGGCCGAATACAGTTACAAAGCCGATACTACAATGGACCATTTGCTTTGATCATTTGGAGACAGTGGACACTGAGGAAAGCCCCAACAGGCAACAGCTGCTACCATTGGCTGCTCAAATCACTACCTCTGGTCGGTAAAACTCACGAACTGAGAAAAACCAGCCACTCTACTGTCTTTCTCTCCCGTGACGGCCTCGGGACGGGCGGAACTCACGCATTTCCGGTGGCCTGGCAGTGGGCCGTGGAACTGGGACAGGGTCTGTTGACAGGAACAGTAAACAGAAGCGCTGGCTCACCGCTGGAGACAATCACCGCTCATGTGACTGTCACGGTCGGGAAGGAATCACAGACCTCGATTAGAAACAGGCCACAACTGCGTGAACGTAGTCTACCCCGGCAGCATGCACGCCAATATTGCTAGCGTTGCTGGCTTATCATCACTGCTGCAAGCGGCGCCCGACGTTGGGTACATTGCTCCTGATCCGCAAATAGACTTGTGAACTGTGCTGAGCTGCTGAACCCAGCGGTAGAAAATAGCGTTGACTGCCGCGCAACAGCGGCTGTCCATTGAGCCCTTGCAATTGAATTGTCAAGGCTTGTTTGCACGAGGAACTATATTGCTATCGAATTGCATTGACAAATCGCTCCGAGAGGGGTAACGATTTACTTAGGAACGCCAGCTGCTCTATTGTAAGCGCAGGCCAGATTTACCGAGTCCCTCATCTATGATTGGTTCACTGAGTTTAATGTGCAGAACCGCATTCCGCATTATTGCGTCACTGAGACCAACATTGGTTTAAAAATTTGATTGAGAATGTTAGCGTGCCGAACTTTCGTCAGATCAATTCTAGAAAGTTACTGCCAATCAGAGTTTTCTTTCTTATCTTCTTTTTTATGGTGTAAGGGAAGCCCAAAATTTGTATCTGAAGAAGGACGCGCTTTGAAGACACGGGTTTGCATGCAAAAACTGATAAATTATTCAACTTTCTTCGGCTTGTCCTCAAACACCAACAAAATACCATTCTACCAATAAAACATAACAAATATCCCGGGAGCATTACTCACTTTCACCGATGACCGAGCACGCTGAGTGATCGGACGGCGGCTCCGACATTCCGCGCACTTACATCGACCGCCGGGCGTCCACTGGCGCTCTGATTACAGCTATTCTCGGTGCCGGCCTGCGGGGCGCTCCCGGGGCTGACCAATAATCCACAGTTCGGACGTGTTCGGAGCAGCCGCCGGCGCGGCTGAGTCAGCGACCTCGGCTGCCGGGGTGGGGCGGAGCTTGATCAGAGTGGTGACCAGCGGCGGGAGCGAAACGGGCCACTGTGCGCCGGTACGGCCAGATACGAAATGGTCTGCTTGTGTTATTGGGACGGAAGCGGGCCACTGCCAATTGCAATGGCCAGAGCAGTAAATAATGAGGTAGATCAATCGACATAGCCTCGATTAGCTATCAATTGACATGGCCTACTTAGTTTAGGTGGTCTCCGTATTATTGTATAAACAACAGACAAAATTGTAGCAGCATGATGCGAACTACGACTCATTGTATAAAATCAAGATGAATAACACCATATAATGACTCGTGACGACAATTGGCTTATGGCAATTGACACGTAACCATACGTCACCATAAACTATGAAATTGCTGGTAACTGTTCTGGATGCAGACTCTTGTTTTCGTGATAATCATGAATGAGGCTTACCGCTAGTGCCCTGGGCCATTACATGCATCAGCATTGTTTGGTAGGAGGCAGAGGTGAAATGCCAGTACTCCTAATTAAAATTTACATAAAACAGTAGCGTTCTCTGAAATTACGCCAGTTGGGATATCAAGTTCGCCAAACGGATCCATTTATCATATCACACAGGTGAAACTCCCAAAGTTTATGTCACGTCGTCAGCTAAAATGTCACTGGCTCGGCGGCGGGTGGGAAAAATCTCAAGTCATTGGTGTTATTTGTCTCTTAATTACTCAGCTCTCTGCACTGGCTCTGTCGGAAGCTTCATTGAATGGCTGACCCGTGACCCAACTTTTCACCTTACAAATGATGATGGTCATTTGTGCTGGCGCCGGGAGCCCGGCTATCATGCACACCTCCATTGCTGACACTACGGTAAACGGAAACGGCCAAAAACGCTAACTCACGCTCGCGTAACGACAGGCTAATGATATGCATGTGCTGTCGTTTGTAACTAATCACCATCGAGAGGCCGTCAGAGCTAAAATGTATTAGCAAAGAGGAGTGTCCGGCTTTTTCGTGCCTCGTGGGAGTGACCGCTCGTGCTCGAAAGACAGCAGCAAAAGCGATGCTTTACGAGCGGCTACTAAATAATAACTGATAGTGAATGTTGATACTGAATGTTGATCAGGGCAGGGAGAAACGAATCAGCTCAAGCATCACTCCCCTCAATCTTATGATGCTGTAGACATCTCACATAAAAAGTGGAGTTGGTCATGGCGGTGGCTGACTTTCCACTGAAGCGCTTTTATGGGCTACCGGCTAGTCACTTTTCGGTGACCAAATTCACAGTCACTTTGCTACTACGTCCGATATACTCGTACGGTATTAGCCATTAGATGAACGAACCCCCAATATAGTACTTGCATGCGCACATGAGGTTTATGTTTTTTTTTCTGAGCGAACATGATCGTCACAGTCAAGTAAGTCTGTATTTTCCTCACTAGATAAATCATATCCTAGCGAACGACGCTGATGAAATGAGCCTTTCATTTGATAGACGATAAAGGGGCATCTTTCAAGCAATGGGACTTTCTGCTATATGTAGTTATGCCTTGCTTTCCTGATCACTCGAGTCTTGAAAAAATGAAACATTTCTGTGAAAAATGTAGACATCTATATACCGAGGTTTTTCTTCTTTGGACGTGCACCTATAGATGGAAACATGATTTCGAATGCTATTTTGTCATTGCATATAAAAAGAAAGCAGACGCACTTGCCACTCAAGAGTATGTTTCTCCAAGAAATCTCGCTAAATCACCGCATTAATCACAAGGAGACACTCAACACATTTTTAATCCTGCATGTTCTTTTTTCCACACCGAGCTGGTCTACCACTCTAATCCACTGCTATACTCGGTCCAGCGACCACCTCTCAAAAGCTCAGGTGCGCTCAGCTGTAAGGGGAAGACGCGTGCGTGGCTGTCATCACCTCTCAGGTGATACCGATCTCGAGGTGCGCGAGCGGCTTGCGTCCGAGGAGGGCGGGTCGACCGGCCGGCCCGACTCCTGGAACGAGCCGGGTGTAATCGAGCCCGGTCTGACCGCTCGGCCAGCCCGGCCGGCACGCGGACCGGCTGATTAAATCGCCCTCTCCGGTAATCAGATCACCGAGTCAGGAGCCGGGCCCAGCGGGAAGTGGCCGGGGAAGTGGAGCACCGGGCAGGAGGCAGGACCGGCGCATGGCTACAGACGAGAGGATACGATGTAGGAAGAAGCGAACCTAAACGTGAGACAACAACACAAATAACAAACATCAAAGTATTAGAAACGTGCATAAATAACATTGCATCATTATGGAAGTTCCCTTCGGTGGTTCCTTGACTAACCTTCGTGACGGAACATAAGCATTTCTGAGAGGGCAATTAGCCTTATCTTAAATAGCAGAGAGCTGCCATGTAAATGAACGCGGCAGTAGCTCTAAGTAGGTCCGAAGACCCTCAGAGGGCCTGTAATCGTTCTCCGAGTGCCCCCTAATGAACAGAGAAACCCTCCTAATTGTTTCCGGTACATCTTGGAATATAATTAAACAAACGTTTGCGAAATGTGGCGATTCAGCAATTGACAAGTTATCAAAGAAGCGACGATTGGCGAAGTAAACGACAACATCTCTCAATGTCCTCAACATGCCATGCACCACCCATTTGTCATCTCAATCAGCGCTCATTCTGTCAACCATGTAGGCCCAAACCGTCAAAGCTGCCGCCGTCGCCACCACTGCCTGACTGGCGGCGCCAACCCCACAATTCCCAGACGCTCACCGTGCCGTGAAGCGCCTCACGCCGGGCGGAGAGCCTGGCCGTCCCGGCCCAGCGCACATCCACATGCCAGCACAGCGTGATTCTCACATTTATCGCTGTAAAACGGAGGGAATTTAATGGCCACACGATGACAGGTGGCTGTCAGGCGGCGCCTGAAAAAGACGCAGCCCAGGGAGAGAGGAGGAAGATTGGAGGGAGAGAGGAGAGATGGGAAGGTATTGGAGAGAGGGAGATGAAGAAATGGAGCAGAAAGCGCAACAGCATGAGGCAGAGTAACACGGGAAGAAGTAAAAGAAGTTAGGAAGAAGATACAGTCGTTGCCAAATATGAAGCCATTCGTTGCAACGGGACTGCCTGAAATGTGTCCCGTCCATCGAATAATGTTGTCATCGAATATGGTTCATAAGAGAGCAGAAGCCTCCCTAATAAAACAAATATTAATAAATGATTATCAGCTTCACTACGGAAAACATTTGGGCAACGAAGTTTGAGAGGAGAGAAGTTTTCGACATCCCACCATTTAGAGCAAGTGAGAGTTGTTTCGTGACTAGCGACCAGCCAGGACTGTCTGTCACCACAGAGTTCTGCCCTCTAATGACGACTGTACCCGACTGAGCTCGGTCGGCGACCATTTCTCCACACCGGACCGACCTGTGTCGGCGGCCTTATCAGGGCCATCGGGGCCACGCGTTAATTGGCCCCCGACCGACCCTGTCCGGGGACAGGAAGGAAAGCAGTCAGTCCCCGCCAGCGGCCAGACGTGCTGCGGGTACAGACAGCTGTTTAGGGAGAAAGAGTGCCGAGATGTCTCCTCGAGTCCAGAGAGGACATAAAGTAGAGATAATTTAACCCAGACATACTTGCATAAATCACACTGCATGCAGCTGTTACGGCGGTTCATGAGAAATGTATATTTTTGGGGTTGAGAATAACATATTTGTATCATCAACTCAAATGCAACATGAAAAATATGGTTGGTGCCCGTTATGAAATGGCTGGGCTTCATTCATAAGGGAGCCAGACAAGGCATTGCGATGCTTCTCTAGCCACCTTTCGTCTGTATTGAGCAATAGATGTGTTGTGACGCGAAAAGCTTCAGAGGACATCGACCGTTTTTTACCACTATCAAATTAGCGCTACCTTGAGTTCACCAGCCCTGACTCAGATCAAAGGACTCCCCGATCGGCTCTGCGCCCGTCAGCGTCATCCAAGTGAAAACGAGCGTCATCAGCTGCTAATGGCGGCCCGAGACCGGGTTTCGATCTGTCGGGACCGGCTCCGAACATTCTATCGGGGATCGAATGTGGCGAGATTCCTGTATTGACAGAGGCGATCGCTGAAGAAACGGCGAATATGGGACGTCGGATTACAGTCCTGAATGAAAGCTGCCCAGCGCCTATCAAGGCCGATGGCCGGCTGGGCTTCATTTATGACGACGCGATTGCACGGGCTTCCGGACAAATATTCCTATGTTATATTTACTTAATGTGCAAGAACTAAAATACAGTTTCTGTACCCTTGGACACAATCGTCCTATATTTTTCAAGCTGAAATGAGATAGTCTTGCTTTTAATCGGTAACTTTGATCTATTTTCTTTTACAACTGAAACTTCCTTCTTATGTCTACAGTCTAGCTACAGCTTTGCTTCGTCCGACCACCAGGCTGGCCTCTTGACCACCACTCTGTCTCTGTCACTGTCCTATCTAATTATGGTTCCATTGTGTCGAGACTGTCTGCACCTCCATAGCCCGCTCGGCGTTCACCTCCGTCGTTCGCTCCTCAGTCTTTCAATAGATGGCCAGCCCGTGAATGAATGACAGATGGGAAAATAGCTCGACTTTAAAATCTTCAGTCAGATTTCAGATCATTTCTCTGGACTCTGGTCAATCTTTGTTGATGACTAATTACTTTTTGGACTGTTCACAGCCTAGTTGCTAGCAATGTGCACTGCTGAAGAGCTTCAACGTTCCTGGCTCGGCACCCGTCACCCAGTTCGTGTTTTTCTTTTTTCAGTATTCTCGTAATGTTTACAAAACGCTCTTCATTCCTCTAGCCAGTGGCGACCGCTGCTGACACGTCTTCAATCCCCACCTGTTTGAATGTCGTATCAGAGCTTTACCCAACTCCCCCTTGGTCAGCACCTCTGACTGACACCTCTGTTCTCTCGGCAGGGCGCCCTGCTGACGCGGTTCCGACCCCCGAACACGGACCCCTCAATCGGCGGTATTCTGGTGACGGGCGGCGCCGGGCTGCTGGCCGTCGCCATCTTCCTCATGGTACTCCTGAGGTCACTCGGCAGGGTCATCAGTGATCTGCGGGAATCCACCAGCTGAGCGCGCCACTCGCGCACCAATCGCGGCTCGCGAGACAGTGCGAATGGCGCAGCTCGTCAAAGTGATTGGGGACAATAAAGAAGGGGCGAGATGACCCCGACTCAGGCTGGTACGCGAACATTGAGCTGGTGGGTAAGACTGGTCGATTGCTGTGTTATTTATAGTGCGACGTGCGGTGCAAGGATCGCGCCATGTGATGTTTGGTCTGCCAGTTACCATAGCAACCAGAGACGCCCGCGGCGTGGAATGTTCGCTGATTGATGTGCGAAGATATCACGCTATTCTAAGACGGTATTAAGACGTGATATCCAGTGGTAATAGAGGTTATATCTGAAGGCCACGTCATCGTATTCAATGCCGAGACCCTGATATTGGGTAATGGAGGATTGATATACCATCAGAATTAGGTTACATGTGTGGGTCGAGGGCTGGATTTGTAAGTCAGACAAAGAGACAGACTGAAAGAAGATTAGCTTGAGCCAGCACGGGATATCATCGTAAATGGTTATGTGCGTTTTCAATTGTTATGCGAAATGTTTCAGTGGATTATGAGAGTGAATTCTGACAACGTATTGCGGCAAATTTATCCACAGCTTTGCGATAATGGATTCTACGATTTACTCTGCACTTGTAGCGTATGATGAATGTGCTATTTTATTACAACTCAAGCCTCCTCATTTTTGCAAGTGTTTATCAAAGGTTAGAGTTTGTCTCTGTCTCGTCCCGTCTCCGTCCCGTCTCCGTCCCGTCTCCGTCCTCTCTCTCTCTCTCTCTCTCTCTCTCTCTCTCTCTCTCTCTCTCTCTCTCTCTCTCTCTCTCTCTCTCTCTCTCTCTCTCTCTCTCTCTCTCTCTCTCTCTCTCTCTCTCTCTCTCTCTCTCTCCCTCCCTCTCTCCCCATGTTCGCCCTCCAGTGACAGCCGGCTGCCGGTGACGTATTTATTACGGCTCCCGGGTGTCGTAACGGCCGGCGTGGGAGCGTGACACCCCGCGACGGCCGTGACGTGACGGCGGGTGTCACCGTGTGTGCCAACACCGGGAGCCGTGGGATCCGGGGGAGGGGGGGGGGGGGGTGATAGTAGACGGAACGCGGGGACAGGGGCAATGGTGAGCCAGGAATTGGATGTTACCTGGTGGAGAAAGACGGGGACCGGGTGGTGACTTATCAGTAAATTTTAGACCAAAACTTCTCTTCCGTGAGATGAAAGCGGTACCACCGCCTGCCAAAGACAGCTTGAGAGCATCTATTACCTCTGCAAATTCTACATGCTCGTACCACCCGCCTTGGAATTAAGTCACGATGAAATAAAATCAATATCAGAGCATCTCTTATCTCGAAATGCACGAACGTCATCAATGTGTCCTCTAATGAGTTAATGACGTCAAATGGAAACTGGTGACGTCAGAATATGTTTTCTCACGTTCGCTACTGACGGTGAAGCAGCTCAGAAGCCGGTGCCACTTACCAGACTGCACTTAGTGTCTGTTCGACAAGCTTGGAGTGACATGTTAATGATGTGAACGCACTCGCTGGCGTGTGCAACTTTCGTTATTTATTAAATAAATCGTTTACATTGCCTGCACTCTATGTCGTGCTGTCGATTTCAATTTGCTGCGGTAATGTAAAAGGCATGTACTCCGGCCGTTCGGGCGTTTAGCCCATCAGTAGTTAGCTCCAGCCGAGTGGCCGTGTGGTGGCAGCATGTCCACGAAACTGGTCCGTAGTTAAAAGACCCTGGCTAGAAGTTCCCTCATACTGTGCCGGGAATTTCATGCCCAGAATTTAGCCCATCGCCATGCCACGCTCTCAGTGGTGTTCCGTTATTGATGTGCGAACCGCGCCGGGGAGCAGCACATAATTACGTTTCCCGTACAAATAAGGCATCGTCACCCCGAGGGTAGTCGGAAGGAACGGGACTGGGGCGGGAGGAGTCGGCACTGGGGCAGGAGGAGTCATCACTCTCCCAGCGGTTCGCCGGGGAATTTGGATAGTTTAGTCACCTCTCAGCAGCTTCTGCTCCAGTTCAGAGTGATTAAACGGTCTGACCGGGTGGGTTCTGAGCCTGAAAAAGAATTACGGCTAGGTACCTACTGATGTCTTCCAAACGGACCAAATAAGCTTTCGACGATGTTATCTTGACATGGATAGATAAGGCGTAAGGTGTTTTGTAACGCCGGATTCCACCTAAATGGCATCAAATGTGAGTGTGACCCAGTCTGGAAAGCTAGAAGTCTGGAAAGCTAGTGTGTTTTAGCTAGAAATGGTATAGGAACTCATGTCAAATGTGATTAATTCGGAGATAGGTTAGTCATTGCTCTCAAAGAGTGACAGGGATTCATGGGCTCAGAGGCCACCTATGGGCTCTGACGAACAGCTTATTGTAATAAGAATATACCAACTACCTACCCCACTGGTCTAGGTCTGTTAGTAAAATGATGGGCTAGTAACATTTTATTAAATGAAGAGACCCACGTTCATTAAATGTGACCATAATTTCTGGCTGAGGTCACATAATTTCTTCTTGCCCGCAGTAGGCATTTTTCCCATTCCTCCGCCCGGCGATTTCGGTTGCGACACCCACGCATTGCTCCATCTCTGATATCACAGTCCCTTCCCACGCCAATTTTCCGCGGCCTCCTTTTCGAGGGCCACCCGTAGTTCGCAGCGCCGTCAATCCAGCTGAACCCCGCACACGATATGAACAGCATCTTCGACTATTTATGCATGGTGTCTGCAAAAAGCGGCCACGCTCCTACTGAGATCAACGTGGATGGAATATGGAACTCGGGTTGCGTGCCGGATCGCCCGGGAGAGCGGCAGCCAAGGAGCACTGCTGATGGGACTCTGCCTGGCCGATGGGGACGGAGTGAGGGTGGCACGTGACCTGCAGTCACTCTGCTGATTGACCTGATCTGACTCTGGCCTGGAGTGACCAGTGGTACCATAGAGATCTTATATACATAGAGATGATACATAGAGATGTATATAAGATCTCTATGAGTGGTACGACGTATGCTCTTGCTAATAAATGCTGATAAGCAGTTGACGTGAACTGGTCAATGAGCATGGCCATGCGTTCCAATTATCTTGAAAATAAGAAATCGGTTTAAAAATGGTAAAAGCGCACCTACTAAAGACAAATTTCCACTTTATATTCTTAGCCGACAAGGGTGGAATGTCCATACAGCCACTTCACTCACCGCTTTATGTTTTGTCTCCACTAGTTCCACTGTTTTCTTTGTTTCTACCCCGTCATTTCTACTCCCACCGGGGTGAGCAGTCGGGTGTGATAAAGAGTCGGCGCGTCAGACTTTCACCTAGTGACAACAATGGCGCGCGGGTGGCACTGTAGCGCCACCGACCCGCCGTAATTACCCTTTGTATGTCGGCTTCGTTTCCGGCCGCCACTCTGAAATGTCCAAACGGAGGAGGTTTGTGGCGACGAGTCCCATCATAGGAGGCAGGCGGAAATATGATTTATGGGGGAGGTATGGGAACGGAACGGAAGGAAAGGAAACAAGATCAGCAACCAGCAACCACTAGGATCAACCAGCCGATGCCCTATATGAAACTGAGTATTGAGCAATGGTATACATCAGAGTGCGAAAAAGGATACCAATAACACCCATGGGGATTATACGAGGGGGTATCGAAAAGTTCTGATCATCACCATGAATTAGATGTGATAGAAATTTGATTTTTTTACATGATGTTCATTACTCCTTAACAAGCCACCACATACGACCGCAAACTTATTGCATCGTTTCTTGAGATGCCTCAGACGGTCATTGTAGGACCTTCGCCTTGTCCCGTAAATCACTGCTCCACTTCATCAATGACGTCATTTCTGGCCTTTAATCACCGGCCATACTGTGGATTCTTCATCTCCTGTAACAATCTAGAGTCAGTTAATACCCGGTCAGGTGAATTTCTTAGATGCGGTAGGATTTAATGTCCACATCATGTTGATTTTTAAATCGCAGCTCAGGACGAATGCAGGCGTGGGCGCTGTCGGTGCGGATAAAACATCTGTCTTGGGCTTTTTTTGCGGCGATTCTGCTTGAGGCCATCTGGCAACTTCTTCAAAAGTGTGCAGTAGTGCTTGCTTAGCATTATCCGACCATCATCAAGACAGTCGGTAATGACTATCCTATGCCAAATCCAGAACACTGATAGCATTGACCTTCCATATCGGCTTCTGCATCTTCGCCTTTTATGAAGGACAGATGTGCCGTGCTTAAACTTCTTGATCATCTTTTTGTCTCTGGATCATACACATAGACCCAGCATTCGTCACAAGTCATTAAATGATCGAAGATGTCTTCAATTTCCTATAAAAAAGCCTAGTTTTCATTTCGAAAGGCCAAGACGCATTTTTCTCTTGAACAAAGTAGACACACGAACTTCTAAGCGGGCTGCCTCCTTTATCGTCTGTCGTTCTTCGCCGATAATATTTTCAGGCACTGCCAGCATTGCGACCTTTCTGTTGCACAATCATCTGAAAGGTCACACGACGATCTGTAAGGATGAGGTCCTCCACTTCCTTCACAGTCACCACCTTGTCAGTCACTGGTAGTCACTCACTTCTTGACTCCCCTGCAAGGGTCATGCAACCAAGTTGAAAATTATTTCTTCATTTTCGGTAAGTGCATTAGATGGGCTTTCCTAGCTATATAAACTAATTTCACGTTCTTGATGTATTTTCTCAGGGTGATACCGTTTCAAATGCATTAGTTGGATGACGGTTCGGTCCTCAATGGGCCCAATACTCATCTTTTTTACTTCTAAGTCTCTCCTACATAACATAAAACCACTTCTCAGGATTCTCTTTGCGGGAACATTGTTCTTAAGAACCAAATATACTACCAACCAAAAATCATCAAAATCGGTCTATATCTTCTATGTGATGATCAGAACTTTTCGATACCCCCTCGTAAGAAGGCATTTGTATTGTTATTTGCATCCTTACCTCATGGGCCTGTGGAGTGCAGCTAGGATAATGAAGCTAGAAGTATGCAATTAATGTTAGGTTACGATATACAAATAACGATAGAAAGTCGGTTCAAAGGCAGGTGAATGACAGCCAAACGACTGATAAACGATAAGGGACGGCAGAAAAAGACGGTACAGGTGCGTGCGAGTTACGATCGATGGAAAAAACTGCAAACGACCCGACCGACTGTCCGGCTAGGAACTGCAGCGCCCGCACAAAAACCTATCACCAGAGACCCAAGTGTAACATACAAAGGTAACACCAGAGCGCCCGGTCGGCGAGGCTTTAATGCAAGGGTGAGATAAGGCCGGGAAAAACTCGGTAATAAATACCGGCTCGACAAACATAGAATGTGTGTTAGTGACCTGAGACGCTGCACTCTGGGTCGGTAATACCGGGAGCTAAGAGAAAATGGATCACTGAGATCACAGTACGAAGAAAAACTTTACAATGAAACACAAGAACTGCTCGCTTTAGGCTAGTAGGCTGTTTGCATGACAGCCTTGCTATTCGATACAAAAAGCGGAAAGTAACGAAAGCGACGACAGCTAGAAAATATAAATACAACATAGAACACATGTCTTATTAAGATCCAGCCTCTGACTAATCCCGGCTGGGTGCACCCAGTAGCCGAGCCACACCTGTGTTGTCACACGCCCCAATTTGTCGCCAGGCAGGTAATTACGGCACGCTCCGCAGCCGGCGGCACTATTTCTGGGCGACGCTTTCTCCCGGTTGCGCACTACCTTTTACCTTCACAACTGGCGTTTAC